TGCTTTTTATAACAAGTAAAACAAACCAAAATCAAACTCATTAATATCCAGTGGGACCCGTATTTTATCACAATTTCCATTTCTCTTTCTTACTTTCGGCTGAACCTGCTCCATCTCCTCATTCCCACCATCCTTCAGATGCTAAAATATACTCCCTCCGTCCCATATTAGTAGTCCATTTTTTTTTTTTTTTTTTTTTTTTAACATATCCTAAATTAGTTATCCTCTTTGAAAAATCAAAGTATCTTTTTATTATATTTCCATCATTGTCCTTTATCTTTTTAAAAATGACAATTTGGTAATTTTAAAAAAGAACAACGCATTAATTGCATATCCCTTTTAAAAACTCCAATTTCTAAATATAGACTTCTATTATGAGATGAAGGGAGTATATATTTAACAAATAAAAAAATAAAATAAAATAAAATAAAAAAACAACTAAAACATTTGTCGTTTTGTTATGAAATTCCTCCCACATTTAAGTGAAATATAGATATAGATATAGATAACACATCCCTAATGCCCAAGTCTTAGTTGAGATGTTTGATTTTAGAAATAATATAAATACATTTCAATTGATGTCTAACTTTGCATATTGTCGCGAGTGAAATATAAAATGATATATTTTGTTATGATAAATACAACGAACCAAACAATAATCACGAAACACATAGAAAAATAAACACACCACTAGGGGCGGAGCCAGGATTTTAGTTTAGGGGGACGGTGCTAAGAAAAATATATATATATAGAGGAGTAGAAGGGAAAAAAAACATAAGAAAAATTTTAAAAAGGTAAGAAACATGGCAACTTAAAAAGGAAAAAAATTATAATTTAATTTAACATGGAAAAAATAACTTTTTTTTTTTAAAAAAAAAAAAAGGAATTTAAAGAGTAAATGAGGAAAAAAAATTAGAAAATTAAGATATAATATTATAAACTAATAATTTTAGGAGGACATTATATAAATTTGTTCATATATATACATTAAAATATAAAAAAATTACCATATATATAGTATGCGTGTCCAGGCCAGGGGCAAGTGCCCCCCGAGCATGCACTGGCTCCGCCCATACACACCACATAAAGAATATAAAAATTTATTCGTGATCGACAAATCCTATTTCCACGGTGGAGATCCGGCGAAAGTTTTTACCGTGTGTGAAATTGAAGATAACAAGTTTTAAACCCTCAATCTCTCTCTGTACAATTTTCAATGTCTCTTGATCATTATACTTCAAACCCTAAGCGCCCTTATATATTGGGTTACAAAAGAGTAATAATTAGGGTTCACGGCCAATGAGCAAAAACGGGTCAAAAAAATTTCTTGGAACCTAGAGTTTTAGTGGGCTTGGGCCCATACAAAACTCATCCAACAAGTCGTTTGCGACCCGGTACCAAATTTGGGCAACAACATAACATCTTTTTGTATGGAACCAAAGATATTATTAAGACAAAAGTGTTATAAACACCTATCAACTATTAACTTATTGCAAAATGCACCCTTCAACTATTAATTGTTACAATTAAGTCAACTTTGAAAAGTGCTCACATTGCATACCTAACGTTGATGATTTTTAGATTCGACTGCACGTGAAATCAAAAAAAACTTTTTTAATGACTTAAATATCCTCTATAAGAAGAAAAATGAATAGTTTGTCACTCTAGAATAAGAAAAAATTTCAAAGTAATTCATTTATAAAGAGTATTTAGCTTACTAAATAATTTTTTTTAATGTCACGTGTTATTGTGCAAGTCTTACTTAATGGTTAAACCTGAAAAACGTTAGCCTCAGGGCTGTATATTCCATGAAAGGATGATACCAAAGCTAGCTCCTCCACCCCCTAGGGTTTGCAAAATTTTATGAATCAATTCAGAATGATTTAATCTTTATCGGACGGTGGAACTTGGGGTTTTTGCGGTGGCGACCCACCCCTCTTCTTCTTCTTCTTCAATGACCCCGAAGACCCAGCCCTCTTCTTCTTCTTCTTCTTCAACGACCCCGAAGACCCACCCCTCTTCTTGTTTAACGACGCCAAAAAGCCTGAAGACCCACCACTGATTACTAAAAATGAAGAAGACCAATTCCATGATCAGGGTGCTAATCGACGATTCGTTGCGGCCGTCGGCTAGTAAAAACCAATACGTGACATCGATCTGCAGCGATGGCGGGTGATGGTGGTACTGGTGGCGATGACTGGCGATGGTGGGTGGTAGTGGTGGCGATACTGCTACTCCTCTTTTCCTCTCTGTTATTCCATATGTGTGTGTGTGTGTGTGTGTGTGTGTGTGTGTGTATATATATATATATATATATGGGCAATAATGTATATAGTGTGTATATATATAAGGGCAAATTTGACTTTTTATGAGTTCAGATATTTTGCAATAAAAATGAATTTAAATTGAAGTGCTATATCGTCTTTTCCAACGTTTTAAGGGATTGTTTGGATTACAATAATCACAGGGGGTGTCTTTGTCCAAAAAATAGCTAAGTTGTATATGGCGTCAGTACGTCAAATTTCAGGGGGTATCGCTGTAATTAATCCTAGAAAAAAACATACTTACACACAATAATCAAAATAACAGTCCAATTTGATCACGTTCAGTCCAAAGGACAAAAAAGATGAAAATTTTGTTGGAGCCTATGATCTATTGTTGTGATAAAAATAGAAAAAAAAAAAAAAAAATTTTTAAAAAATGTTTGATTGTATAATATTTATGGTATATCACATTGTTTGAGATTTATGGAGGGCATGATGCATATAATAAAGTAAAACATCATATCATAATACTAAAAGTGGTTATGATTTTTTACTTTAGTATATCACATTGTTCGAGATTTGTAGAGGGCTTGATACATATAATAAAGGAAAACATCATATCATAATATAATATTAAAATTGGTTTCAAATACCAACATGTAGCGGTATAAGGCTATTACGTTTTTAAAGAGAGATCAGGGTTCGAATATCAGTGGAAGCAGTGTGTGTGAGTCCCAATTGAGTAAAAAAAAAAATGGTTTCAAATGTAAAGTTAATTTTTCAAGAATAAATGTAATTATGTAACCAATAGCTCACTTTTCACACACACACACATTATATGTATATATATATATATTAAAAATAATAATAAATAAATAACTGTAAGCAATAGCTAATCCACCATAGTTTGTTGAATTTTCAAAGAAATCATCAATCTTAATCTTTATGCAACAATTATCTAAAATGGTTCCAAACGTAAAGTTTGTTTTTCAAGAACAAATGTAACCAATAGCTTACCTTTCACACACATACAAAAATAATAATAATAAAATAAAATTATAAGCAATAGCTTATCAACCATAGTTTGTTGAATTTTTAAGAATTCATCAACCATAATTTTATGCAATCAAAAAGATAAATGCACATGTGTGTGTGTACCATAAGAGAGTGAAAATTCATACACAAACCAAAAAGAGGTTGTGTGTGAGGTCAGGGTCAGAGACCAGCTGGTGCGCTAGGTAGGGTACCCATTCTTCTGTCAACCATGGATTCCATGATTGTTGTTCATGGCATGGTTGTGGGGGCCTTCCGATTAACCCCAATTTTCATTGAGAGTTGATTGCTACCAAACCCATGGTGGGTTGGGTGCGCACCACTTTGGTGAGGAAGTCGAAGAAGGGTGCACCCACCTGGACTGAAAGACTCCGCTAGCACATTCAACCACTTTAATGCCCCGCTTGGTCACAAGCCCACGCTACTGAACTCGGCGATATTGCAAAGCAATACTGCATATTATTAATTTAAAATTCAAGTACTATTTAATCGATGTGGGATTTGGAAATTTAGCCCCTTTTTTTTTCTATTTTTTTTTTCAGGACAGTTTCTCATATTTGTTTCCTTGTAGAGTAATTGACTACTTTTATTAACTGGAGTATATAAACTACCTCTACAATTGGCGACTGTGCCGATCACTCCTCTCCGAACTTCGCCGGGCTTCGATGGGGACTATATCGAGCAATTCATTGTCACGATTTGGAGGGCTTTGACGAGTACATAGGAACCCATTTTGGGTTCGTCTGGGAGAATCGGAAAATAGAGGGTTTGGGGGTTTCGGTGGTGGCGGAGAGTGGGTCTTCTGAGATTTAGAGGTATGAGAGGGTAAATTGAAATGAGACCGCCATTAATAATACTTAATTTCTCTTTTTAAAAAAGAGAAATTATGTCATCTAAATATCAAGTACTAAAAGTATATTAATTAAATAAACCCGATTATAATATATACTTTCTGATTCCCTAATTCCTGATTTATTACAATAATAGAGTTAAATAAAAGAGAGAGAGGGGGGAGAGTAAATAATCATTTCAATTTTATTTACATATCTCCTCTACAGGTTCAAGTTCGCAAAATGATGGTGCGAACTTGTCAATGAAAAAAAATAAAAAATTAAAAAATTTATTTAACAAACAACCTTCTTTATTTCCCGATTAATAGTTAAGCGTAACAGACATGATCGGACATGATGACCTCCCGATTAAAAGCTGTCCAACAATAAAACCATGTCAGTAACATGCAAATTACAAAACTAAAGCAAGCATTGCATACTTCTATCACTCATGATTTTATTCTACATTTCCTCTCTTTCTTTTTTATTTATTTTTTTATTATTTTAGTGCTTTTCTTGGATGTGCTCAACTGATCCAAGAATTTCTTTTTATTGCAGATGAAGCCACTGTTGGAAAGAACAGAAATGAATTCGTATACCCAATAACCAGCCCTGGATAGCTGAAACTCATACAAAATTTGAAACAATTCCAGAAATCTGCAATCCGGTATTAAGTTTTGCCTTACAGGTTTGTATTCATCAACAATATACTTCTCAAACAAGATCTAATTATATTGATTTTTTATTGGCTAGCCCTGTAATGGGTTTTCCAAACAGACCCTAAGTCGAGTTAGACTCACCCCCAACAAGCATATGAACATGAGAATTGTTGCATTTCCATCTAGAGTAGGAATATAAAACTGGATGGATTACCTTGTGGTCATTTGTGTGGACCACTGTCATTCAACAATTCGTATCCGCCTTTGAAAAGAATTTAGGTGTACCTATTGATTCTTAAACCCTAATAACAACTAATAAAATTCTCTACAATTAACAATTTTGGATAGTATAAATCTATCCGTAACGCCCTAGGCATACTAATGCCGGTGATGGTGATCCCATTGTATACAGTCAGCAGCTTCTGCTGTCGGCGGCACCTACTGATTTGTTGAATTTGGTGGATCAACTCCTTTTGCCTTGTAATAAGTCCTTTCGGCATTCGCCACACGATTCTGAAACATTGTCCACTCTTTTTTACACCTATCCCTCACCTGGCACCAAAGACAGATCAACAATACATTTCATCAACAAATTAATGTTAATCAATCAGTAAATACATATATGCTGAAAAGACCATATTCAAGATAAACTGATGTGAGCCAAGTCTGCGTGAGAAAACATGCATACAACAAATTATGTCCCTCAACATATAACAAAACGAGAGAAAAAAGAGTAGGACGACATAGCATACCCCTTGCCATGGTGCCTTCCCATTCTCTGCTTCCCCCTACCAAAAAGAGAGAAGGTTTTTGAATACTGTATTCTATTATGTAGAAACATATATACATGTATATATATATTATATACACGTTTGTGTTTGTGTTTGTGTGCGTGTGCTGGCCAATGCGTTCTTTTTACCTGGTTCCCGAGTGAAGGAACACTTTGATGGACAATCCACTGAGAATCTACAACTCCAATTTTCTCATGAGCAGGCTATATTCAAGAAAAAAAATATACTCATTAATGCCTTTAATAATCGCATAACTTCATTTTCTAAATTATGTATCGAATTAAAATTCTAAAAGTCATTCAATTGTCTTCAAATTATATTTGAGAGTATCGATCTCCTAGAATTGGAATTAGATTACATCAATGACTATTTATATTAAGCAAGATTTCATACAAATTCAAATGAAAAATTATTGATATTTAGGTACTACAATTATACAGAATAAAACAAATTAAAATATGTATTTGTATATTAATGTATCTTTCATTCCATACTACAGTGATACATTGAAAACTCTGAGGAATTTTTCAATAAGCCAAATTAGTTAGGACTGAAAAGAGCTTAGAGTCCTCGCTTGTAATAAATAAAATTAATTAATGAAACTTGTTTTTGTATTAACTATTTTCAATTAAGTTCTCTAAATAAAAAATAATTAATAATTAAATTAAACCAAATAAATAAGAGAATAACTTAGGGAGACGATATTCGCACTCTAGTTTTCTCCAATTGCATTCCATTTATCATTTTTTTTAAAAGAAAATGACAAAAAAGTTCTTGAATTCATTTAAAAAAAAATTATTCAATTTTTATTTTATTTGTGTTGTCAAAAGATACTTTAAATATTAAAGATTAAAGAAAAAGAAAAGAAAATCTGAAAATGAATTGTATCATTTAAAAAGTAATAATTATTTACTTGTAAAGTTAAGGTTAAAATTACTATTTCATTTAAGATTGTAGTGCAAATATTAAAAAGTGAAGTGCTAATTTTGCCATCCGTAACTTATTATACAATATGAATCCTCACATTTTATGGCGGGTGTACATGATTTTTATGTATCACGTACAATAAAAGAGAAGTAGAGTAGTAGACAAGGGTGTTTTATTTAGAAATTTTCATACCTTCTTAAAAAATTGTAATTTTTAATTTAAAAAAAAAAAAAAAAAAAAAAAACCTAGAGAGCATGAATCATAGGAAAATAGAGGATTTTTTCTTTTTTTTTTTTTTTTCCCTTACAACAATAAGGAAAAAAAGGATTAAAGATGGTGTTGAGCGATTTCCATCAAGACTGTAGATCAATGATATATTGACCCAAAATAAAGAACTCAAAAATAAATTTAGTATCTGTCTTCTTGAAATTTAAAAAAAAAATTCTACTTGAACCCTTTTAACTAAGATTTTAAAAGCTGTGAAGAAGCTCATTAATATTATAGTTGTTATTGTAACACGTTTTTTATTTATTTACATATACACATGGACAATATCTAAAATATTAATTCAAGAGAGAAAAAAACAAAAGATAAAATCATTAATGTTCCATCATGTTTAATAAAAAAGTTTTAAGCATTTTTTGTCAAACATTTTTGTACAATGATATATACAAGAAAAATATCTAATTTTGAATTATATAATTATTTTTCAAGTCTTCAGAGTTTGAAAAACAAAGGGGTGTTACGTCTCTCCCTCCGATATAGATTTTGACCCAATATAAAACGATAGTTGATGGGTGAAATTTAGTTAACCAGATCTTATAAAATTAAATAGATTACTATCACAAGGGGTTATCTAGTGTCCCTTTTGCTGAACTCAAATAATCCAATTTTCACAAGATGTCCTTGCTAGGAGCTCCTATATCTACATGCTGAAGACGCTATAACGCAGAATCATAGATGCCCCACAATCTAAAAATGCCTGGGATTAATCCACCTACACTCTTCTGCTGACTAAATATTAGGATGAGAAGTAGAAGAAACCAAACAAGAGAGAGATTTTTTTCCCTCTCCCTTTCCTTCTATAACCATCCTTAGAAAGATCAGACAAAACAAAATTCAGAATAGCAACTAAATTTGATATTCAACACCTCACCGCAACAACACTTCTTTTTGGTAGGTAAAATACACACACTTCTCTCTATTAAGTGCTAGTTTCCACAAACTCAACCAGAATCATCTCAGAAGTTCCTAAAATTGGGAAATTTGTAGGAGTTTAGAAAGGAAATGAAAAGAGAAGCCATGTCAGATAGTGAATCGAAGTCAAAATTCACTATTGCAAGAAACACCTGCAGAGGGCAGACACCTTCATTCGTGATACTGCTAGCATTGGAAGAAGAACGTCACATTCCTAAACCATAGTTATATTGGTATGATGCACAAAATGAGAAAATTAAAAGTGAAGAATAAGATCATTGCCTGATGAACAAAATGAGAAAGCTTGAGCAAAACATTATACCTATTAGGGTTATTCAACATGATGCGTCAATTGAAAACATAAAATAAAAACAAATGTTCAATTAAACTTGTTTGAAATGAGACAGCCAGCTGAAAAATCAATACATGTTTTTCAGAGTAGTACACCATATGGATACAAGAAAAAAAGAACTGCAAAAGAGTACCCACTTACCAGCCATGCTAAGGAAAAGCTGAGTCATCGCCTTAATTTTCCTCTCCAACCCAGTAAGAACCTGAGTCTGTTTCCTAAAAACTGACAAAATATCATCTTCCGAAAAACCCAAACTCTTAAAGAGCTCCAATTTCAACCCCCAATTCTCTCTAGTCATCGAACTAATAGCTCGAATCGCTTCAAGAAACATCTTAGACTTCCTATCAAAGCCCATCTCATCAACCCTTTTGACATATTCTCTAAATACTCGTCGGTTTATGCAAGATAAATCTTGAGGAACTATACATATTCCTGGCTCCATCCCTGCTTGCAACAAGCTACTATATCTACATGACTTTATTTACTACCATGAAAACATAAAACTTTCTCAGTAGCAACCACCACATCTGCTATAATAACACTAGCTTAGAATCACCTGAATGAGAGATCCACTAGCTCATTGGTAATACTATCTTAGCACTAGAATCAACCAAATCTCATCAGATATATGAGACATCTCTACAGAGTTCGAGTCTGAGGATAACCAGAGCTGTCTAATGCTGCCTGCCTGGGATAAACAGAGCTGTCTCAAGTCTGAGGATTACGATATAATGCAGAATCATAGACGCCCCACAAGCTACAAATGCCCTGGGATAAATCTACCCTACACACTTCTGCTGACTAGATATTGGGCTGAGAAGTAGAAGAAACCAAACAAGAGAGAACATTTTTTTTAACCAAACGACATGGAATTCAGAACAGCAACTAGATATGATATTTAACACCTCACCAGCATCAACTCTTTTTAGGTAGGCAAGATACACATGCACACTATTGCTCCAACCCGAACTGACATCAACAGATCAACTCAGCTAGTTCATGAGAGTGACCTTAAAAGAGAAGTTGATTCTCAGAAGAAACAGAAGCTGCGGTGCTTAATCTCTTGTATCAATTCAGTCCAGAACTCTTCATCTAATAACTTCCTCTGACTAGTTCCTAATACCTTCTATACTGCAGTGCTTAATCTTTTTGTCAACCCAGTCTCAAGGTGGTAACAGAGTTCCACAAACTAAACCAGAATCATCTCAGAAGTTCCTAAAGATGCGAAATTTGTACGAAAGGAAATGAAAAAAGAAGCAACATCAAATATGCTATAGAAGATCAATTTAGTAGTAGTCAGTGAATCTAAGTCAAAATTCACTGTTGCAAGAAGCATCTGCAGAATGCAGACAACTTCGTTCGGGATACCGCTAGCATTGGAAGAAGGACCTTAATTACTTCCCTAAATCATAGTTATATTGGTAGATCAGACATGCATAAGTACTGCATGCACCAATATAAATGAGAAACAAAACTTATAATAGCATACTATTCTGCACAATGACAAAATTATATGTCAAGAATAAGATCACGGCTATATGAGCAGATACTTAATAATCATTGCCTCACACAAAATGAGAAAGCTTGAGCAAGATATAATACCTATCAGGATTATTCAACATGATGCCTCAATTGAAAATTTGAAAAAAGGAAAAAGAAACGTTAAATTAAGGATATATTTCTACACATTTGAAATGAAACAGCAACCTGGAAAATTAATCCATGTTTTTCTCAGTAATACACCATACAGATACAAGAAAAATTGTGAAAATCTAGTGCAAAAGAGTACTTACTTACCTGCCATGCTATGCCACCAAGTTATTTGCTTAACGGGGAAAAAAAAAAAAACACAGTCTCACCCGTTTCTAGGTATTAAATCATTAAGTCACGAATAATGTCATGATCTTAAGCACAAATTTATGCTTTCAACGAGGTGTTGTAGCCACAAATAATTCGCCAACTTCATTTGAATGAGGGAGTAAATATTTATCAAAGAACTTCTTATCAGTCATCCTGCATACAGTTGCCAAACTCTGCTTTTTAAGAAGTAAATTCCTGCTTTCCAAAACATCCAGAACTCTTAACCGTGGCTTAAGCCTACTCTCAACACTGTAACCAAGTAAATCTGGGTTATTAACAACATATGAGATATCACATTTGCCCGTGCTAAGGAAAAGCTGTGTTGTCTCCATAATTTTCCTCTCTGACAGAGCAAATAACTGAGGCTGTCTCCTAAAAACTGACAAAATATCATCTTCCGAAAACCCCAAACTCTTAAAGAGCTCCAATTTCAACTCCCAATTCTCTCTACTCATCGAACTAATAGCCCGAATTGCTTGAAGAAACCTCTTAGACTTCCTGTCAAAGCCCATCAAATCAACCCTCTTGACATATTCTCTAATACTCGTCGGTTTATGCAGGAATAATCTTGGGAAATTACAGAGATGGCGGGTTATTTGCGACGAACTAATACCACAACTCTTCATAAATTCAATATTGGGTATCATAGATTTCGCCAAATCATACCTCAAAAGCGTCCCAGATCTCTTTAAAACCCTAAGCACATCCATATTTGAACCCAAAACACTCTTCAATACTAAAATTGACGGGCCAAGCCGATTATCAACGCTACTAGTTAGAATCCATGGGTGAGACGAAACAATTTCCACAACGTCGCTAGAAGAAAAACCCGAGTCTTGAAAAAACTTGAATTTGGGTTTGATGGTGCGCTCAAGATTTG